TGTAGAACTCGGTTGATAAACTATCTGGTCCTGGGCTTTGCTTTCTATTTCATTACTTGAAATTGATATGTTTAAATAGTGTATGCCCTCCTTATTCAGTTTGGTTAGGTCATATGTTTCTAGAAATTTGTCAATATCTTTAATATTTTCTATTTTATTGGAGTATAAATTTCAAAATAGTTTCTAATTATCTTCTGTATTTGAGATATATCCATTGTTTTATATTTTTCTTCATCTCATAATTTAGTAGTTTGAGTTTTCCCTCTTTTTCTCTTCATTAGCATGGCTATTGATTTATCAATTTTATTTAGTTTTTCAAAGAACCAAWTTTTACTGTCAATTTTTTCGTCAATTTTTTTCAATTGTTTCTTTTGTTTTATCTTTGATTTTAATGTCATTGGTTTCAGCTCTCATATAAATATTTCTTGTCTTTTACTGCTTTTGGTGTTGATTTGTTCTTCTTTTTGTAGGGCCTTAAGAGTATTGTTAGGTCATTTATTTGTTGACTTTTTATTCTTTTAATGAATACACTCAATGCAATAAACTTTCCTTTTTGTACTGCCTTTATATTGTCTCAGAGATTTTGATATGTTGTATTAGTGTTCTCATTTATCTCTAAGATTTTTTTGTTTCAATTTTATTTCTTTTACTATCCATTCATCATCCAATAGTGTATTATCTAGTCTCCTTTTTTAACAATAGCTTGTATTTTTTATTTTATCATTGATTTCTTATTTCATTTCATGTGGTCTGATAAAATCTAGGATATAATCTCTGTTTTTCTGTATTTACTAAGAGTTGCTTTGTGGCATAAGATATGGTCTGTTTTAGAGAAGGAGCCATATTCTCCTGAGAAAAAAAGTATATTTGCTCATTGATGGATGAAATATTCTATATATATTTATTAAGTCTAAATTATTGAGTATATTATTTAGTTCTATAATTTTCTTATCTAGTTTTTGTTTGAAAGATCCATCTAGTAGTGAGAGAAGTGTGTCAAAGTATTATTGTATTGTGGTCTATTTGAAATTGAGAAGGGTTTGTTTGATGTACATAGATGCTCCATTGTTTGAGGCATAAATATTTATGATTTTTATGTCCTGCTTATATATACTTCCCTTAAGAAATATGAAATGTTCTTCTTTGTCTCTTCTGATTAACTTTGTTTGAGGTCTACTTTATCTGAAATGAGAATGAAAACCTTTGCTTGTTTATGCAATCCATATGAGTGATAAGGTTTTTTTTTTTTTTCCATCCTTTCTTTTTCAACCTGTAGAAGTCTGCCCATAATCTGAGTCTCTTGAAGACAGCATATTGTTGGGTCTTGCTTTTAATCCAATCTGTCAATCTGTGTTTTTTGATTGATGAGTTTAGGCCATTAACATTCAAAGTTATTATTGAGATATGATTTGTATTCCCTGTCATTTTGATTTATTTCTGGTTTTTTGATTTGTCTTAGTTTCTCATTTTGTTGAATGTCCCTTTAGTGTAGATCCTCCCTTTTCTGGTTTTTACTTTTTATTCACTTCATCCTCATGAAATATTTTGTTGAGAATGCTTCATAGTGTAGGCTTTCTAGTTTTGAATTCTTTTATTTTTTGTTTATCATAGAATGTTTTAATTTCATTATCTGAAACTTAATTTTGCTGGATATAAAAATTCATTTTCTTTTAGAGCTTGAAATACATTATTCTAGGACCTCCTAACTTTCAGGGTTAAGAAATAAGTTGAGATCCGAGTTGGTTTCCCACTATATGATTTGATTTTTTTTCTCTCAAAGCCTTTAAGATTTCATCTTCATTCTCTGTGTTAGTCATTCTCATTATAATGTGTTTTGGTGTGACTCTGATGTAATTTTGTACATTTGGTGTCCTGTAAATTTCTTGTATTTGATTTTCCATTCCATTCTTTAGTTTTGGGAAATTTTCTGCTATTATATAATTGAAAAGATTGTGCATCTCTTTGGTTTGTATCTTTGCTCCTTCATCTATTCCAATAACTCTTAAATTCGGTATTTTCATGTTATCCCATAATTCTTGGGTGTTCTGTTCATGGTTTCTTAACGTCTTCTCCACATGTTCAACTCTACTTTCGAAATTATATATTTTGTCTTCATTGTTTGAGGTTCTGTCTTCCAAGTGGTCTACTCTGTTGGTGATGCTTTTTATTGAATTTATAATTTGATTTTTTTATTCCTTCATTTCGAGGATTTCTGATATTTTTTTCATGATCTCTAACTCTTTATTAAAGTGTTATTTCACTTCCTATATTTTTTCTTTGATTTCACTCCTAATACTATTCTTTACTTCACATATCAATTTAACTATGTACAATCTGAACTCCTTGTTGGTCATTTCTTCTACTGTGTTATCAGTGGCTTCTGTTGATGAAGCATTTTGATTTTTGGGGAGCTCTTTATTCCCTTGTTTTTTTTTTTCATGTTGTTAGTGTGTTTTCCCATCTAGAAGTATGGATCTAAGCCAGCATAAATTCTACCCTGTAGACATATAGTGTCCCTGAAGGTTTCTAGCACCTCGCCTTTAATGGTAAGACCAATATCAATAGCACCCAGTGTAAAYAAGCCTTAAGCCTAACAGCTCCCACTAAGACATCTACTGCTTTCTTGCATTAAGCCAAAATAGTGAGTTCAATATCTAGCTATAGTACAAAGAGAAAATTTGTTAAAATGGTTTACAATTTCAAATGGTGGATGAGAGAACAGAGGTAGGGTAGCATGCAATATTCTTTTGGGAGGGAGAGAGAAGCTAGATGTAAAAATTCATGGGAAGAGTGGAAGAGGAGCCAACAGAGATTGGCTGTTGGTTGGAGAAAAGTTGGAAAGAAAATCCAAGAAAATAGGCAAGAGAGAGGAAGTGCAGAAAGAGAAAAAAATCAATAAAAGTGCAAAACACCATTCATATATCATTGTCTTCCACATACTGATGCATAAAAAACATCCTGTTCCAAATATGGTACAGAGATTAGTGAATAGAAAAATTTCTGATGTTTCTGATGTCTCTTGGGATCACCAAACCCAGATCAGCCCTCATAAACCCAGTCTCTATCCCACCCATCTGGGCTTCAGATACCTCAGGATAGGCCACACTGCAGTCCCAAGATCTCAATGCTGCTCCTACTTGCAGAGAGACCACCAGGGATACACTCATGCAAAGGAGCAACCCTGAGATGCAGCAGCAAGACAAGGGCCACCAGCCCTMTCAATAGGAAGACTCCAAGCTCCTCCAWACCTGCAGGCACCTCCACACTGGACCTGCAGGTCCCAGCTAGAGTCCCTAGATAAAGGCTTTGTGGTGCTAAACTTGCTGGCACCCAGGCCCCAGGCCCTGGTTGGTGTCCCCAGATGGGTCCAACCATGTGCAACCAAACCTGGAATCTCCCCCAGAGAAGTCTTTTAGGCTGTAGTARTAGCAGTAGTGGTGGTGGTTTTTGGCAGCAGGCAGCGGTGGCTACAGCACTAGCAGCTACAACTATAGCTGTGGGGGAGGCTTCATCAAGAGGTCTCTGGGGTTTCAGCAACAGTGTCAGCTTCAGTTGCATCAGGGGCAATGATGTCTTCTGTGCAAGCAGACCCAGAAAGAGACCTCCAGGTSACTTCAGGCTGGCAGCAGTGGAATTAGAGACAGCAGCAAAGGTGGCAGTGGTGCAGGTGGCAGTTGATTGACAGGAGACTTCCAGTTCCACGCAGCGTCTGTAGTAACCAAGGCTGTGCCCAGAGAAGAGACCTCCGGACTGGGCAGGGGTGTCTAGGGCAGCCAATATTTAATTTTTAGATCATGGACTTTTAGAGGGAAAAATATTACCTTTTCTACTTGTTTATTTAAGGATAGTAATTTTATTAAACATTGTAACTTATAATGTACTTTTAATTTATACATCTCTTTATTATTTATATCAGCTCTGTCTAGTGGTCAGCATTATATTGCCTGAATTCAAAACACCACTATGACTTTTACTTCATTACTTGCTGTACAGTTTTGAACAAATTATTTATTTATCTATGCCTTGTATGTAAATTGGGAATAGCAACAGAGATTTCTGTAATCTGTAACCCACTAATGCCTAAGAATGGGGCTGATTACTTTTTAACCACAGAATTAATTATCTTTTTAACAACAGACTTATCAAAATAATTAAGGATTTAATAGCCTAGTACACTAGTGTTTAGGACAGTATATTACAGAAATTCTCAGAAAATGTTGTTTTTGTACTAAATTTAATGTTGATAGTAACTGCAAAATGATTAAAACTAATTGTGTTTAATATAAGTATAAAACGTTCATACTTCAATTAATCTGATTCTCACTTTGAGGAAACATAAGTGACAAAGGAAGGTCATCCAGTGAGTGACAAAACTAAAACCAACCCAAATCTTCTGACTCCACATGTATAGTCATTGTGTAGTAAATAGTATGCCTTTGACAACAGAAGGTTTAGTAAATTTTTTGGGGTGGAATTAGTTGAAAGAATCAATTTAATTGAGGAATCTCCCTTGGAATTCTGAATACAATTAAAGTAGATAAAATAAGATGATAGTCTTTGGTTCTAATTTGCTCATGTTTATACTTTGATATCAAGGCAAGTTTTCAATATGTGTATACTTAGCTGGACCTAACTGTTCTGATCCTGCAGAGTGCAATAAATAAATAATGAGAAGAGATAAAATAACCTAAAGTTAATTGGTGTGGTTTTGAAGGGTTATGTTATTATCTTGGATCACTGTCTGATCAGCCCTAGAATCATGCAGTTAAAGAAGGTTACTCCTGAAAGAACCTTAGAGGTTATATAATTCAATATCSTCTTCATTTTGCAAATGAGACCCTGAGAAGGTGAATAACTTACTTATTATCACATAGTAAACCTGTTGAATTGGAACTCAGGTTTTCTGATTTCCAGACTTGTTCTCTATCTGTTGTTGTCCAATTGATGCTCATAACAACATAAACTTCTATTAAAGTTGTCTTAATTTTTTTTTTAACCAGGTAACCTTGGCAGGGTGGAGCAGGTCTCCGAGTTCGAGTATGATCTGTTCATTAGGCCAGATACCTGTAATCCGCGCTTCCGAGTCTGGTTCAACTTTACTGTTGAAAATGTGAAAGAATCACAGGTGAGAGAAGTAGTGGAAAATTTCAATGTGTTTTTGGTAAGAAGAATATACTTTTGTTTGTTTTAGGAATATCAAAATACTAAGTCAATATTAGACTATGTTCTTGGATATCTTTAGCAATGATAGTGCCCCCCCCACCCCAGGAGATAAAGAGAAATAGGGAAGGTATGCTGACTTTTGTTATCTGATGTTTTTAAAAATAATACAAATATTTTAAGTGTTATTATTGATTAAACCATTAACATATGCTAGGATTCCTTAAGGGACATTATAAAGAAACATGGGAAGTGACTTGCTATTATTTTTATAGACAATGCTATTGTTTATTATTTCTTCTTTGTAAACACCTATGAAAGGCATTTCTCATAGGCCTTAGGTTCAGAAAAAGCTGTTCTTTTCCTGTACAACAGCAAGATTATATTTTTTAGACAATATGACTCTTGTAACTGATGCCATTTTCCTCTTGCTTTGACTTCTAGGAAACTCAGAACATATTTTATAGCCCCTCTCTTAGTGATAATGGAAAATATTTTTGTTGTGTTTCTGTGTACTAACTTTTTAAAAATTCTGAATGTATTAATCTGCCAGTAACCCTGATTTCTTCAGCTTGTTTCTAGTGGTGTATGTTTTTATAACCCATTTAAAATCTTGTTTTACATGAGAATATGAATGAAAAATGTAGAGATAAACACATGTGATTTGAATAAAAAATTAGTAAAAACCTAATGCTAAGGAGCTGGGGTTATACCTCAGTGGTAGAGCACTTGCCTAGCACATGTGAGGCACTGGGTTCGATCATCAGCACCAATAAAAATAAATAAATGAAATAAAGTTATTGTCTCCATCTACAACTAATTTTTTTGAAAAATGTAATCCTAAGAATCAGTTCTCATTTTGTTATATTGAGATAATCAATCATGAAAAATACAAACGTTGCACATATGGTGATTTTATGTTTCTTTTAAGTAGATGAAATCATAGCTTTATAAACCAACATTTACCTTCTTAGTTCAGGTTGTCTTTGTAGTGTGTTTGGGAGAAATTCATGAATTTGTTTAATTTCCTCTCATGTAAATCCATCCTGCTTGCCATTCACCTGGTTGGCTGCTTCTCTCCATTTCTCTCAGCTGTAACTTGAATTGGGTATCAAGCATTGTCAGTGTCAGAATTTATAAACTCTGAGTCTTCCTGGACACAAKTATGTTATTGGCATATTGGCTTCAGCAAAAGATGGGTATAGCCATTTCAATGTACTACTAATTATTGTAATTCTCTACAACACCACTGCCACAGGAATTTAGAATATGCAATGTTACTGAAGTTTAGGGGCTAATTGGAAGGAATCAAACATCAGAGAGATCCTTGTATATTGTTTGCCATGTATGACTTATCAAAGAATTTTAGGATCAATGGTAGAAATAAAGAGTTAAATTCTATATAGAGACCCCCTCAAGGACAAATTTAGTTCCTAGGTGTGCTTCTTAGTTTTACTTAGTCTCCAATGACAAAGTTTCTTTTTCTATTTTTCACAATTAAAAATAAATCATATTTCTCCTCTCTCCTGACCTTAAGAAAACCCACATTTTACCTATATGAGTTTGCCTGACCCTAGGATGTCCTTCAGTTTCAACAAAATAATCAATAATCTTCAAAGTGTATTTCTGAAAGTCCATGCTGCTGTGTTTAGGCTATAACTTATAATAGGAGGTGTTAGCCACATGTATTAGATTGAGTCTTCACATTTCAAAATTGGGCCTTATAAAAACCTCTTGTTATCATGAGGTAAAAATGTGCTTTCTCAATCTACCATTGGTTTTCCTGCTTAATGTCAGTAACTTATAGTTGTCAGATACACACATCTCTGAAAATAAAAACGTAACTCTGGAGTATAGTTAATTCATGTRAATGAAGGACAACATTTTCTTAGAGTCAGTATAATCTGCCAAGATTTCTAAATTTGTAAAAGAGATTTCTGTTTTCTTCTTTTTTGCACAGCCTATGTACATTGTTCAGCTGGCCTACTGCATCCAGGGAACCCACTAATGCCTAAGAATGGGGCTGATTACTTTTTAACAACAGAATTATCTAACATCATTATGCCCTTTACTAAATAGAAACTTAGCTGAAGCTCTGAAATTATACTATTTCTTTAACTTTGAGTCACATTCATTAGTTTTTCTTTAACTGTAATCTCTATAAAGATTGTTTTTCTACAGCTTATTCTTGTAAGGAGGGGAGTAGAGGATGCAGTGATTAGGGAGTTGAGAGAAATGTGTTCCTTTAGTTATAACACCTGAGATAGTTTTTTAGACAAATTACTCATGCATTTAAAATTTTCTTATTTACTCTTATAATGWGCTTATAGGGATATTATTTTTATTGTTTATAATGTCATAGTCATAGTGTTGTAACTTGCACATTACCTGTTAAAACTATACAGCCTTTATGGCAATCTTGCCTATCAATTAAATAGCAAGAGACATGAATGTGTTCCAAGGGTTATTCTAATAAGGGAGTTGAGTATGTTTTCTGGATGCATATTTTTAAAGTCTTTGAAAATAATATCTTCTCTGTTTTTCTGGGTTCTATGTACATACCCAGTGCTATCCTACCGTGTTAACCATTAGAAATCATAAACATGTTCATCTGGTTTCCAGGATCCTGATGCTTTATCAGACTCTTTCTATGGGCCACTGCTTCATTAACTGTAATCATATTATATAGTTATGAAAATCTGTCTCAAGAAGGCATAAGATCTACTGAATAGATACAATATATATGCCTAGCTCACAGGATATTTGTTTTCATGGTGTCTACATGAAAGAGAATGGTTTTACTATTAACTTTGACTTGTGAGGTCTGGTTTTATAATGTCTCTTCCTATAATCTTTTTCATCTCTCTTCAATTTCCTTTAAAATGAGAGCTGCATGAATGTAATCTAGTCAAGAACATTATTTAGGGCATGGTAGTGGCAGAGAAAAAAATATTAGTCATCACAGGCTGACTTGATTAAATGAATGTTAAAAATTGAAGCATGAAGTACATTGTATACACAGATCTAGCTTTGGGATTAATTTCTTTGATGTTTTTAAGAAGCAATAAAAGCTTGGAACCTGTGGTACTCTATCTCAGGACCAATGTATTAATCCCTCCAAAATAGTTGCTAAATAGTGTATTTGTAAGAGTCAATGAACGTCTGGAAACCTTTATGAAATAGTCATTTTCTCTCTGAAAAAAATAATTTTAAATATTCTTATGTGGAACTTTATTACTGATGCAGTAGAACATTTGTGTGATGTGAAAGCAAATCTTTGAAATTTATAATACTTATGATAAAATTTTAACCAATAAGAGGAAATAAAGTGGTATACATGGACTGTTTAAACTCTGTTTTCTTGATAGTATTTTTATCTATTTGCATTTAATTTCCATTTAAAAAGTAGCCAATGCTCAGTGTAGTGATTTGGAAAATATAATTATTAGAAGCAGAGAAAAAGAACACACACCCATGATCTTACTGGCTAGAAGGAAATACTATTAATTTTTACCACATTTATTTCTAGGCTTATTTACTTTGTTTTATTTTTGGAGAATAATCAAAATTAAACTATACAAACACATATATGTGTAGTTAAACTTTAATTAATTATATATAATATAGTTTAATTATATATGTATATGAATATGTGTGTATATACACACATAATGTCTTGCTTCTAAAGAAACTTAACATATCACAGCAATTTTCTATCATTAAAAACTTGATAATGTATATGTAATGTGTCAAAATACATACTACTGTCAATATAACTCAATAGAACAAATAAAAAATACTAAAAAACTTGATAAACTTGGCTCTCCAATAGCTATTTATTATTGGTCTACTTTCATACTCTTGGGTGTAAAGATTATTTTCTATTAAATGATGTTATGAATAATATAGTAGTGACCATCTTTATTCAKGTGATATTACCAAAATTTGTTTTCCTCCTTTAGTAGAAATTCCTAAGAGGGGAACTGATGGTCAAGGATATGTATATTTTGGAGACCTTTATGCATATTTCTAAATTGCTGCCCAAAAGTTAATACCACCTTTTTTTCTCCTGGATATAGCAGTGAATGAGATGACTTTTCCTGAATATTTTGCTGTGAATTGTTTAAGAACTTAGATGTTCACACATCCAGAGAAAATCGTTTCTTTTTTCTCACTTTGAAACCTCACAGATAAATGGGTTATGATGCCGTGTCTCAGACCTCTATTCAAAAAAAACCAATTAATTGCATTCTAGCAATAACATGAGATAGCAAAACAGATCCACTTTATTTTCACTTTTTTCTCAACTCATCGATCATGTTTTATCTGAGTATGTCAAGAGAATGTCCTATGAGGTATGAAAAACAGAATAATGAAGCATACATATCCTGTTCCAGGTGTGGTGGCATGCACCTGAAGTTATAGCTACCTGAGAGAGAGGCTGAGGGTGGAGAATTGCTTCATCCTAGCAGTTCAGTGCTTCCTGGGAAATTTAGTGAGACTTTTTCTTTAAAAAGGCATTTCCTGGATTTCTATTAGCTATAATACAGTTTAAACACACACACACACACACACAATACACGCACACACACTCACACATTTTATGTATGTGTGTTTAAATTTTTTCCTTTTCCTCTTACTTATCCTTTTTTCCTCTTTCATTCAAAGTCTATTACTAATTATCCTAATCATTACCAGGCAAAATGTAATGAACTCTATTAGACCAAGGTGTGTTGTAAGCAACTCTGCAACTTACAATCTTTGTGACATTGGGAAAATCTTCAATCTATTTATCTAGCAATATTATAAATTTCTACATTACTGAATGATGTTAATAGTAGTAATTAATAGGATTGACATAAGAATTTTAAGTAACAATGCATATGAAACACCTAATTTARTGCTTAGTGCATGTAGTAATACATAAGTAGTGCTCAATAAATGTTAGCACTTATTAGTAATGTATTTGTAATGATACTTCTACAAAACAGAAAACTGCTT